CCCTCGCGGCGGCGCTTTATTCGGTTGTGACGGAGGGAAGCGCACAGGCGGGTAAGAAGGCACGATGGCTGTTAAAGATTCTGCACAATTTTAGGGAAAACGACGCGGCGGTGGACTCGGCGGCTCCGCAAGAACGCTCCGTTCATGTTTGGTGATTCATCCCATTGAAAATTTAATTATGTATTGTGGGTCGGTTTAAATTTTGAAAATGGGCTCGGTTTTTAGAAGAGCTCATCAATTATCATGTTTGTTTGGGTAAATAATAGAATATAAATATACTTGTACATAGAAAAAGTATAGATTATATTGATTAATGAATAATACTTGTATCAATATTAGGATAGTTTAATAATATTAGTTTTCTGCATGCTTCACTTCTAAACTCTTAAAAGAAATGAGATAGATTATAAATTTCTTTGAAGCTCGCATTTATACATGGAGAGAGATGATGGATTAGTTGATATTTTGAACATTTTTGTTGCTTAATTTAGAAATAATTAAGTTGAAGACTCGTATTAAAATAAATTAATTTGAAAGTAATAAAAAACGAATCTTTCCATTTAATATGGCGGATTAGTTAGTGAGTGGCTCGCTATTTGCGTTTAGCGAAGTAATTGGAACCCCCACCATCCAAATTTAGTCACTTTCTTCTTTCACTCTCTCACATACCTTTGGACTTTCAAACCTAATCTTTTTTCATAAGGATAATTGCTTTTTTATCTTGAAAACAAAACCCACAAAAATAAAAAATAAAAAACCAAGGGAAAAAAAAGACACGGAAAGTTAACCTATTTCCTTCACTCTTTCTTTTCCTTTTCTGATTACAATGGAGTACAGAGGCAGCAAGAACATTTGGTAGGTGAGAATTCTAATCACAATGTCTCAAACCAAATCAAATATTCAAATTACGTATTTTTATTTTTAATAAATATAAGTTCGGAATTCTTCTTTTGGTTTGTTTATGTCGCCCTTTGTTCATCCACATTGTCACCAATAATAGCATTGGTCTCTTCATTGAGATCATCACATTTCCATCTTCTTTACCTTCCCATGGTCCAAGAGAGTAAGCTCACCCCAATAAATTAATAACAACTAGAATTGTTCTAATTAACTTTTTATAAATTATCTTTTGTTAAGTTTAATTATATTAGTTTCATTGTGTTGTGATTCTTATTTTAGAAGAAGATATTGATTTTTCTTGTCTGTGGAGCTATCCAAATTGCTGTTATTATGGTTATGATGATGATGTTGTGGCACACTATCGAAGAAAGAACTTTCTTCGTTGGCATTATTTGCATTGGCTTCAATATGAGCATGTATACTTTGCCATTGACGGTCATCGTCCATTAACCTATCCTATTATATAATTAATGTTTTGTTTATGCAACTATATATATGTTAGTAATTCAGCGTAGACTAATCAAAACAAGGAGCATCAAATATTTGTCATTTACTCTCTCACTGGCCAGCTTCTACAATGGAATCGCTTGGGTCGTTTACGCTCTACTCAAATACGATCCCATTGTCTTGGTAAGAATATATATAAATCGAAACTACCGAAACCTAATTGGGCTGGGTTCGATTCTATTTGGTTCAAGTTTGAAAGATTTAAAACATGTGTAACGATTCTTTTTCAGATGCTGAATGGTGTGGGAGCACTTTTTGAGTTGATACAGTTGATTCTGTACGCCAATTATTGCTGCATTTCGGCGCTGTCCGGCGAGGAGGCGGTGGTCAGCGCCGCGGCGCCGCTTTATTTGCTTGTGACGGAGCGAAGCGCGCAGGCCCGCAAGAAGGCACGGCGGTTGTTTAATATTTTGCACAATTTTAGGGAAAACGATGCGACTGTGTACTCGGCGATTCCGCGATTCCGCAAGAATTCTCAATTCATGTTTGGTGATTCATTCCATTGAAAATTTAATTATGGATTAGTGGGGTTTATTTTTTCTTTTGCTTGTTCGTATTAAATAAAAACATAGTTTATATTGATGAGTGAATAATACTTGTATATTAATATTAGTGTAGCTCAAGATTGGTTTTTTTTTTTCCGTTTCCCTTCTCTTACAAACTCAAGGAAAGGGGATAGATCAGAAGTTGGATTTGATTTGTCAAGAGACATAACCTTAAGCCATTGTGAGAGAGGATGGAAGATGAAATTTGGCAGAAGTTATAAATTTTACCTCTACGTAAAATGAGTTTCTATTTTTTTTATCTCTTTGTTTTTATTATAAAAAATACAAATATTTTTTTAAAAGTACGAGGTTTAATTTCTCATATTTATATTACATCTGGTTTGGAATGTTTTAAATATATATAATGTTTCAAAAAATTACGTATTAATTTCTCATATTAATTACATGACTAGAGGAAGGGTCAATGGAGGGAGAAGAGGGGAGGGAAAGACGAAAGAGAACTATAGGGAGATGAAAGGAATGGGATGGAGGGAGATGAGAAGAGAGAGAAAGGGAGACCGCTGGTTTAATATATATATATATATATATATTAAAAAAAATTATTATCGGTCGGGTCAACCCGAAAATTTTAAGGCTTAACTCGAGACCTGATCCAATTCGATCGGGTTGGGTTGGGTTTATTGGGTTATCGGGTATTTTGAGCACACCTAAATGTTATATTTGGTGAAATTCATTTATTATATTATTAAATTATATTTTTTTAAAAAGATGAATATCAAAAGTATGAAGATATAATATAATTTAATTGAAGTTTATTTTACATCTACGTGTAATACATAAATATACTTAATTGTTTATTAGTCAATAATTTATTTAAATTATAAAATTACAAATAAAACTAAAGAAATTTGATACGAGAAAATATATGAAAAATAATGAAGAGGCAAAAATGTCAATATAGTATGTCATCGTCATGGAGATTATGAAACCCATGTTTTAAAAGGTCATCCAAATCGACTCGGATGCCTATGGGCATCTTGAGATATCAAGATATCTAACATTACTGTAAAACAAACGTGAGAATTTAGATATCCATCTCACGAAAATCTCGGATCCCCATAAAACAAACGATCCCTCGACATAAAAGATCAACAACCTTTTTCAAACTAAACAATATTTGATCATATGAGTTCAATATTTATATTTTTATTTTCTGGTTGTAATTTAAACCTCCAATCCCACCTATCTTATTAGATAAGTTCTTAATTTGTATTTATATTTTTTTCAAGGGGCGGGAGTAAAGCTGAGGATGGGCGTTATTGCGAAAAAAAAAAATTGAGGATGGGCACTCGAAAAAGATTGATTTCACTGCTTTTACTTGTTAGACATTTTCACGTTATTAAATTAAAAATAATTAATTATAAATTTAAGTTAAATTACTCTAGTAGTCAACCAAAGTATAACTATACGAGTTAATGCATATTTATTCAACCTCGAATTTTCACTTTTCTATATTGACTAAAAAACTTAAATTTCTTTTTTTACTACAATATTATGGGGTGAGATTCCAACCTGACTTTTTGATTAAAGATATGTGACTTAAAAAACTTAAATTATTTGTCGGTTATTTCAAGAAAGATAATCAAATATTAAATGATAGATAAATAAAAATGTAAACAACAATTTATAAATTTCATGGCTGTATTTTAGATTTGTGGCTACTATTTGTATTTGAAAAGATGAAGAAATTGTTAAAAAAAAAAAAAAGAGTAAACGAAAATCTCCCACCTCCGGGTTCGAACTGCTGGGCTAGAAGGTGATAATTAGGGCTCAGTATCAATTTCCTCAGCTGGTTCTTCCACTATCGCTGTGTCTCTCTCTCCTCTACGTCCAAAAGATCGAATGTAATTTTCTGAACTGTTCTTCTTTAAAGCAGTACGCATGCTTGCAAACTTGCTTAGATCTCCGAATTCTAAACTTGCTTAGATCTCCGAATTCTTTGTTTAGATCTATAAGTTTCTTTGGAGTTCTTCAGTACTTCTTTCACATTCGTATGTTTCGCTGATTCATCGTGTTTTGCTATTTCGACTTTGAGAATTTTAATTCTGATTCTTTTAGAGGCATTTTGTAAATTTTTCTCATGACATTATTACATGTTTTTGTGAGATTCTGCAAACTACTTGGCCCAGCCTGACATCCATTGGTCTTTTCCTCTGGTTCCTTGAATAATCGGCATCTTAGATTGGAGAAGTTAGGGTTTCACTTTTTTATCTTACTGACAAAGGAAGTTATGAAATCGTCATTTATGATTAGGCAACTGATTTCGTTTCATTCTCTCTGTAAATCAAGTTAATTCTCGTGCAACTTGCACGATATGACTTCTGATTTGTATTTCTTTTTTGCTTATTAATGCGATTTATTGCTGATTTTCGTTATATCTTACATCCGTAGTTAGTTTGAACTTTGTGATGGCGACTGAATCCAAAATGGCGACTGAGGAAGTTAAGATTGACCTCTTTGAAGATGATGATGAGTTTGAAGAGTTTGAGATTAATGAAGGTACGACTTTTGATTTATTACTTTCCTTTTTAATTCGTTCCCTTATTTGGAGTTCTTCACTACTGGTTCCAGACTTCCAGTCTACACTTGTTTTTCCATTCATGGTTGTCTGATGTGCAATAATTTGCTTGATATTCCAGCCTAAAGTAAGTGAATGCAGTAAACGGTCTGGGAATTCTTGTTACTGACTCGGTGATAATTGCTATAGCATTCTTTATTTGGGACACCAAACCCTAATGACAATTTCTTGTTCACCGATGGCCACTATTTTGTATTATCTGATACAGTGACAATTACCCAAACTCTAAAATGAGCCGCGATTGTGTCAAATATAGTTACACTAATAATAGTGATCAATGAAAGAAACTACTAGTTAGAGAGCAAAGCGTCAGAGTTCCTGCCTTTTGGATTTAGTTCTGTCAGTGCACGGTTTAGGGGAATGCCCTTACTATATTCTAGGTTGCCATTCTACTGTTAGGTTTTGGGAAGTCCTTTCACCTTTGGAAGACTTTATGTGGAGTAAAGTTTTCATGGAAATTTTCAATTACGTATTCCCAAGAATACTAGGAGTTCTAGTTGTATATAAGAAAAATGGAGGAACGTTCTTTGTAGAAGGCTCATGGTCGCGTTTTGGAACGATTTTGAAGATGTTTCGTTGATTGGTCACAAGTAGTTGTTCGTGTAGAGGAAGCTCCCACTTTTTTAGATGGGGGCAGGGGAGGGGGTGAGAAGAAATGCTTTGCTGCTTGATTTGAATTCTCCCCCATGGGCAAAGAAACAGTGTTTTAAGGAAGGAGGTAAGAGGTCTGGGGCCAAGTATAAGAAGGGGGTTGAGTCATCATTCCATGATTTTCAGTTGATGCGTTTACATTATAGCTGATGTCATGCTTGAGTTTAGTAAGCTACTATGTTCTGCCCATCTCATTTGTCACCATCTGAATATTTTTACGTCCTGTGCTCTTGAAAGATGCAAAACGTGTGTATGTGCTAAGTTACTAACTGGTGTAGTGACTCGATGATAAACCTACTTGTGAATCTTGGAAGTGATGCTACATCATGCTAACATGAATATATTGTTTCTTTAGTATCTTTTTCATTTAAAGATGAACTCACTAGAGAGAGAGAGAGAGAGTTATCAGTCAATGGATTAATCATAGAAGGGAGAAAACTGTGACACAAGTAGTGTGACACTCTATGATATATGTCTAGTCCTATGCAATCATTTATAATCACCGCAAGTAATGGGAGCTCATATCTTAGATACTCTTAGATGCTGATGTAGAGCTTGTTTCTCAAGGATTATTGTTCTCTCTAAAAAAATAAAAAAGATAAAAAATAGAAAAAGTGTGCTTCTTGTTTTTTGCAATCTTTGTGGGTTTGATAGAAAATTTGCTTCCATTGGGATGCTAAGTTAAGCATTCTGTTACTATAAACATTTCTGATGTTATGAATGAAAATATCAATGACAGTTTGGGAAGTCAAAGAAGAAGGAAAAGAAATTACACAGCAGTGGGAAGACGACTGGGACGATGATGATGTCAACGACGACTTCTCTTTGCAGCTCAGGAGAGAATTAGAGAGCAATACCGAGAAGAAATGAGAAGAGTTCAGTCTTGTATGTTTTCATTTTTGAAGATCTATGTTTTAACTAGGCCTTTTTACCCCAAGGTGGTTTTATATCGTCTTCAATCCCTGTAAATGGTGGTATTTTGGAACATTATAAGCCTAAAACAGTGTTGCCTTTTCAGATGAGAAAATTGGAGAACTGTAACCATTGGCACTGAAGAAAATAGCATCTGTGTTGTCTGTCATAGGACCGTGACCTTCCTTCAGGGATCTTACTGTGGTTTGCTTGAGATTTATAATACGTTTCGTCCAAAAGGTTACCAAAAGTAGAAATTAGTGTTTGTAATTGGTAATTGGTTTGTTCTTTAGGGTTCATGTCACATTTCAAGCATATCTTATATACCATTTTATATGTTAAAATAAAATAATGTCATTAATATTTTTGTAAATCGAGATTATCAACATTGCAAAGGGATGATATCCTTTTTCTCCAGCAAGATGTCCCTAGTGTTGTTGAAATGTCAAAAATGAAATTGTCTGCCCTAGTCACACTAGAGTAGAAGAAAACGGGAAAAAATGTTAAAAGAAGTGACATAAAAATTAAGAAAAAATAAATATATAAATTTTTTTATTTTACAAATTTATTTTCACTCTATTTGTAGTTATATTTCTATCCCTTTTTTCCTTTAACTTCTCTATATACTTTACCAAAAAAATTTCAGCTTCAGTTTTTTTCTTTCTATTTCTCTCGTAATTTTTTAAACTTTTATTTTTGT